TTGTTATAACACCCGCCACTCGATCACCGCTTTCATGCGGCGTGCTGCTGGGACCACTTCATGGCGGGCTACACAACACCATCGATCCTCACCATCCCGGGTAGTTTGCCCTCGCATGTAAGACCCAGGATCCTGCTTTACTCAAGCGAGAGTGACTCCACAGGATCACCATTTCCCAATCCCTCGCACAAAGTTATTGAGATTGAATATTAGTTTCATTATAACTTAAAAACTTGTGAAGTAGTGTTAACATGCAAAAATTACTTACTTAGTTCTGGAGGGTCGAATCACCGGCCGCTCTCAGATGGGTAGTCCCGGGGCGCGACGACCTCGCAGCCAAACCATAGGCACCCCATTTCCTCTGCCAGCAAGTCGGCATCCTCCTCACGCTCAGCCCGCTCGGCCTCATCCTCCCTCCGTGCCTCCTCCACCGCCTCCGCTATCTCCTCCCTGGTCTCCTCCTCCTCATCCTCCTCCATGGTCGCTACGAACTCGTCGTCGTCGTCCTGTGGAGGAGGTGTTGGCTCTCGACGCCCTCGTCGTCGCCGTCGTCCTCCTCCACCCTAGGCTCCTCCTCCACCCTAGGCTCCACCTCCCTAGGCACGCCCTTGTCGTCATCCTCCTCCTCCTCCCTAGGCATGCCCTCCACCCTGGCTGGACCCCTCGCCACCAGCCAGTAAGGTCATAACCAACCTAATCTTCCTGATTCCACCGCCCACCATCAATCACCTGCAACAAAAGGAATAAACTATCAGTACGCATATACAAAAGTAAATGTATCATACATGTATAAAAGAGATGCAAAATAAGTAAATGTATCATACATGTATAAAAGAGATGCAAAATAAGTAAATGTATCATACATGTATAAAAGAGATGCAAAATAAGTAAATGTATCATACATGTATAAAATTGCCATAAGTACTACAGATCTTACATGTACTAGAAATAATCATCAAGATCATCGATAGGTGGGCCAAAAATCTCATCATTGCTATTGTCGACGTAATTATGATCGTCTCTCAAAGTCTCATCACTAGCGACACTGCCTGAATGGTGTTGCTCAAGTAATAACAAGTCCTTCGCGTTGTGAACCTCGATCCGTTGTCTCATGACCTCTTCTCTCGCACGATGGCGTTCACCATGCATGGTCCACCGGGTATAGTTCTCTACAAATCCATTGTTGACAAGATCTTTAGTCATCTCCTCATATGTTTTCATTGCCTTGTTCTTACACTTCCTACAGGGACACCAGGCATGTCGCCGTCCGTTTGCAAATGCCTTCGTCATGAAATCATTGGCCTTCTCAATCCATTCATTTGTGTATTGACCCCTCTTCTGATAGCCCGTGTACATCCACTGACGGTCATCCATCCTAACATATAGACGATATTGCACTTTAGAGCAATAGAGTAGTAGTGCTAGAGAAAAACCATATGAGATGATAAAGAGACATTCATGTTCTTGGTCGATTCACATAGAAGATGTTTGCTAGATTGGATGATGAGATTTTACCTAAGGTTGAAAGGCCGCTATGTCACTTGTAGATGGAGGAATACATGGAACCAATTTTTTTGTAGCCACAAACATCACTAGCAAGATTTATCGAAGATTGAGGTAGAGCACGACGACAAGTGCGTGAAGAACAACAAGGTGACGGTGCAGATCGAACTTGTGCGACCACGACGTGAAAAACAAGAAGGAAAACAACAAGTAGTAGTAGTACGTGCTAACTTGTGAATCTTGTGCCTCTTGGCGGAACAACCAAAGTCGCAAGGTCATTCGCTAGTCGCCAACTTGTATTGGTTCTACTACAACTTTTAAGATGAACTACTCGCCTTGTGTTCTTTGTTTGCCCGTCATCATTGGTATGAACGAATATTTCTAGCATACTCCTACATTTGTTTGTTATAAAGACAAGAGTAAGCACAAATATTGGGTTGAGACCAATGAGTATGCGAATGAATGCCCCGAGATGGTAAAATATGGCTTTTTCATATGCTGATGTGCGGGATCACGGAAGAAAAACATGTACTTCGAACACAAAAGATGTCTCAAAGAAGAAAGGGTAATAAAGTGGACACGGCATAAAAGGCATCCGTGATTGTCCATATACACGCTAAAACTCCATGCTCACATCTTTGAAGACGAAGTGACCAACAACATAGTAGCTAGTGGAGTAGATGACTTCAGATCTATATAAAGATCATCACCTAGTGACTAATTTTCACATAATATTTCGGAAACCATACTTGTCAAAGTAAAAGGGAAGCAAACATATATACAATTTCGACATCACAAGCTAGGAATTCTAGAAACAGTACATTATATATTAAAAAAGGAACAAAAGGTAGCACCACATAGTGTTTTTTTATGCGTGAATTAGTGGGCATAATCTTTATAACTGACGGTTGGAGACCACCATCTTGAGAAATTAACTTTTCTTTGATCACAAATGGCGAGCCCTAATTTCTATTGTTAATCCGTCTACACCGTGCCAATCCTTGGACTTGGTACGCAAGCGATTGTAGCTAACAAAGCCCTCTCCTAGTTTGATTAATCACTAGCATCATAGGGAAGCCGTCTTTGTATTTTGCCTTTCAATGTGAAAGCATGAGTAGTTTGGAAAGAACAAGCCATTATCCAAAAAAAGTTTGGGAAGAACAAGCAAAATCTTCCATTGGCCAAATGGGCTAGTACATAGTAGAGGTCCGTCAAAAACAAGGCACCAAGCAAATTGTATTACAAATCACCAATAAAGTGAATATGCATGGCGGTGATGGATGTTGTCTTTGTAGGAGCCGATCCTTGCCTCGATGTCGCGAAGTGTCCGGGAGGCGGTCGTGGCGGCCGTGATCCATGATGGCGGTGGTGTGGTGGGGACCGCCTGGGCGGCGGTGGTGGAGGGGAGGAGGCGGCATGGCGGGGGAGGAGGCGCCACGCCATGGGAGGCGCGCCATGGCGATGGCGTGGAGGCTTGCGGCGTGGCGCTGGCGCTGGGAGGCGCGGCGCAAGTGCGGGGGACGGCGGGAGGCGCAGCTGGGACGGCAGCAAGCAGCAAGGGGGATGCTGCGGAGTGTCTGCGGTGTGTGTGTGTGTGTGTGTGTGTGTCTGTGCACAATTTGAGGGAGAAACGGCTAAGTGTTGAATGCTTCTGTTTACCGAGTGCCTAGATGTACGGCACTCGGTAAACTCAAACACCGCAACCCAATGACATGTGGGCCTAGTACATGTTTACCGAGTGCCCAGATCTACTAAGACTTTCGAGAAGGCAACTGCACCGCAGCCCAATGACATGTGGGTCCTGTACATGTTTATCGAGTGCCCAGATCTACTAACACTTTCAGAAAGCACACCACAGACCCAATGACATGTGGGCTTCAGTACATGTTTACCGAGTGCCCAGATCTACGGCACTCGGTAAACAGAAGCATGGCAGCCCACTGTGGCAGACAGGTGGGCCGTGGCTAACCTTTACCGAGTGTTTGAGGTCACACTCGGTAAAAGTATCCATTATTTCATGCAAAACAAAAAAGAAAAAAAAATGCCAATTTAATCCTAAAATTCACCAAACTTTCACATGAACTATTTCATGTCATCTATTTACTATCTAAAAATTCCAAGTTCAAATCATAATGTTTAATTTCACTCTTAATAGAAATCCTACTCGTCATTGTGAATGTTTAGCGTCTCTTTGGGAGATGTACCGGTTCGACAGCGACGAATGTAAAAATACTTCCGAAACGTTATGAAAATTTTTCTATAACATAGATGTATGCTTCAATGTTAATTCTTCCAATCTCGTGATTTATCGAGTTCGATTTTAATTATTACAATTAAATTTACACGATATGTACCTAATTTTCACAAAGAATGAAAATTTTGTGAAATATAGTAAATAAATCGAAATAAACACCATATTTTGGAATGGAGTACTAAATATCATATGTGGATAGAGAAAAAGAATGAAGGGAAAAACAAGAAATTTGGTTGAATTTTACCGAGTGTTATGCCAATACACTCGGTAAAAGATAGTGTTTACTGAGAGTGTTAGAACTTACACTCGGTAAAACTTTATTATTACCGAGTGCAAATATGTTTGCCGAGTGTATGCTCATAACACTTGGTAAACATGTCATGCCGTGACGCCGCTTTGCGCACGGTTGCTATCCTATGTGACGTGGCACCTCAATACCGAGTGGTCTGTTTTACCGAAAGTGCACCCCTTCGGTAAACTTGTAGTTTTACCGAGTGTCTGAAGTTACCGAGTGTGCTGACTCGGTAAAGCGGTCGACTACCGGGTGTTTATGTTTTCCGAGTGTTGGCACTCGGTAAGTACTGTTTTCCGAGTGCCCCGACTTTTGACACTCGGTAATTGTCGGGGCACTCGGTAACTACACAGTCTCCGGTAGTGTATACGCTAATCTGTGATGGAATGGGAAAAAAAGAAAAGAATTTTAAGTTTAAGTCATAAGGTGAGATCAAGGGGAAGAATGTTAGGTTGATCTCCTCCCGGCTCGGTCCAACGACCGAGTCGGGGCCTTAGATCCACGCCCTGATCGGGGACGCCCAACCGTTCCATGGTTGGTGGGCCCCCGTTGTGCAGCGCAATATAAAGGAGGTGGGAGGCCAGGGCTCGGGTCACGAGGTTCACCTGAGCCGCCTTTCTCCTCCCTATAGTCCTAACCCTAATCCGATCTAAGAGGGAGACGTTGAAGCGACGGGAAGCTCCACTGACGTCTTCACCGCCGCCTCTGCGCCACCACTACACTGCGACCGACCTCAACGCCGTGACTCGACTCCGCCGACCTGGACCGCATCACCTTCGCCATGGCTACGTTGAGCTCTTCCTCCAAGCCTGTGGATGGTAGGTGATATCTCATATCTTTTCCTCTCTCTCTAGATCATGTTCTAGGAAGTTTTCATCCCGTATGTAAGGTTATACTCGCTAGATCTATGTCTAGGTGGTCCACTAAGTCTATCATGTGTCACTGTCAGGACTAGGTTGTTGCAGTAACACCATCACGCAATTTCCCTGACAGTTTAAATCCAACTACACTGGGCAAGACCATGCTCGTTGGCTATCCGTTCAGAAAAATATCACATCAGACAAAATCAAAATAAAGGTTGATATGCAGATATGAATATCTTAATGTGTACAAAGAATGAACATTCTGTTTATTACCTGACCAAGCAGTGTTGCTTCTGCTTCAATTCCCCCAACGCCCCAGCCAGCAACCCCCATTCCATCAATCATGGTAGTGTGAGAATCCGTTCCCAGCACGCTGTCGAGATATAAAATGCCATCAGTATTGAAAACAACTCGTCCAAGATATTCAAGATTCACCTGAAAAAATTAGAGGGAAAAAAAGCATCAAATGAAACTCAAGAAGCATAAATGCAAAATAAGGAGCACAAAAATTTGGGAATGCGAACTGTTCGGTCTAGAGAAAACAAACTGCACCTGGTGAACAATTCCTGAACCTGGTGGAACAATAAGCATATTATTGAATGCCATAGAGCCCCACCGAAGGAAGGCAAAGGGCTCCTTGTTCCTGTCGAATTCGCGCTGCATGTTAGCTTGGAGGGCATTCTCTGATCTTACCACATCAGCTTGTACCGAATGATCAATGATTAGATCCACTGGAATCTGAAAGCGCATAGCAAAAAGGTGAGAAGTTGACAAATATTTAGAAGATGATCACTTGATCAGTCGCGTGACCATTCTTGCATGATGATTCTAATGTGTCTTAGTGTACTGAGTGCTGCCTACCAGGGGATCAATCTTGCCAGGATCATCACCCAGTCGGGCCATAGCATCGCGCATGCTTGCAAGATCAACGATAGCTGGGACACCAGTAAAATCCTTCAAAAGGAGGAAAATGAATAGTTATTTTACACCACATGAAGCGGAGGATGAAGTCAGGTCACTTCCACACCTGCAGAAGCACACGGGCGGGCTTGAATGGTATCTCCACTAGCTTGGGAGCGGTATTCTCCCAATCAATGATATTTTCGACATCCTTCTCTGTAATCTGAAAACCGTCACAGCTGCGGATGGCTGACTCCAGTAGATACCGGATAGAGTATGGCAATCTTTCTGAAAATGGAATGCATAAACGAATTACAAATTATAAGGCTTGGTATGACGTATCTCCTTGGGGATTTATTGTGTTTAAATTCACCGCAGCATTTCTCGGCTAAGTACCTATCCTAGGATCATTCAGGGCTGGTAAGCTGTAGTACTTCCCGCATTCTCCGCCACCGGGCTTTGGGAGGCTTGTCAGCACATGCCCAAAGCGGCTATTACCATCGGCTGCAGCAAGGCAGTCCCAATGAAAAAAATTGATACGGTTTTCGTAGCACAACAAATCATCTATAGAAATTACCTTTTACAGTGGAGGTGTCTTTGTGTAATAATTATTTTATCTTTCTCTCTCCCAACTCTATCTTCTTCCTCCCATGGAAGTATGGCACGAGCCCTCTGGAAACTGGTGGTTTCTCCCCAATGGTGATTTCATAGTTTCTCGGTGCATTGGGTTAAGAGAAGACCTGATTTCTTCATTAGGAAACCATTTCTAAAATTTTTGCTCTCTTTCTTCATTAATTACGTGGCCATGTCAACATTTTGCCTACGTGGCAAATCATTTAATGAGGATAGAAACCATCATCAATACACCATTGGGACTGCCTAAGGTCACGTACGGAGATCAATACAATGTTCCGTCTTCGTAACAAAAATGTTCTCAATTTAGAAGAGCAGTATTCGAGTTATATGTTCATGCAATTGGTATTATAATATATATAGAATAATAATAACAACAACAAAAACAATGAAATATATAGAAATAGTAAATAAATAAATAAACACATAACATAAATAAAAAATGATAGAATCTCGAGCAAAGAATAAGGAACAAATAAAACACGTGTAATAAAGAAAATTTTAAAAGAACACCACATGTATACTTTTCAATATCTAAAATATACCATAGATCATTACATGTATACTAAGTGAACATCACTAAATACATCATAGAATCGTCTAGATATTACGTGAACATCACTAAATACATCATTACGCGAACATCACAAAATACATTTATAGAATATCACATATATATTACGTGAACATCATAAAATACATAATGTACAATCGCATGTATATTACGTAAACATCACATATATTTTACGTGAACATCAAAATACATTGTAGAACATCACACACACATATACATATACATATACATATATATATATATATATATTGCGTGAGCAACATAAAATACATAATAGAACATCACAAAAGTACATCGTAAAACATCACATGTATTTTACGTAAACATCACAGAATACGTTATAGAACATCACATATATAGCACGTGAATGTCACATATATCTCATACAATATAGAAAATAAAAAATTAAAAAAATTATTAAAATAACTAAATGAAGTAAAACGACAACGAAAAATGCACATAAAAGTTTAAAGAATAAAAGACCATATAAATAATAAATAAAAGAACAAATGAAATAAGAAAAAGAATAAAAAAGATTTGAAAAATACGTCAGTACGCAGCAAAGAAAACTACTTCGTATAAACATTACGAACTACTCCGTATAAACATTATTGTGGGCCATGCAGTTGCACTACCTATGCGCCGCTTTGGGTTGTGCCTGTCGATATAGCATCTGCACTCATAGTTCGACGCGTGGCTCCTATCCGAGTGATCGAAAAGAGAAGATTTTCGCATTATAGGTACCTCGTAGAATAAAAAATATTAAAAGTAAAACTAAAAAAATTAGAGTAATTAAAGTAAAATAAAAAATAAAAAAATAGAAATAATAAAATACACACAAAACATAAAAAAATAGAAAAGAAGAAAGAAATAGAAGGAGAAGAAAAGAATAAAACATGAAAATAGAAAATATAAATAAAATATTGAATCATATAAAATAAAAAATGAAAGAAAACAAAAAGGAAAATAAGAAAATAAAGAACCACAAAAATTAGTAGTAGTAGTATAGTTAAAAAGAAAGAAAAGGAAGAAAAAGAAGACAAGAATAAAAAGACATATAGAAAAGTAAAAAGAAAAGAAACAGAAATAATAAATAGAAGCAAGGAAAGAAATCAATAAAAAGAAAAATATAAAAAATGAAAATAATAATGAAAAAACACATGAAACAAAAAATGAACAAAAAATAAAAAATGAAGAAAGGAAATAAAAAATAAGAAGAAAAGAAAAGAAAAAAGAAATAAAAAGAAGGAAACATAAATAATGAAAAATAAAAAATAAAAAAACCCGCATAAAACAAAAATAGAAATAAAAATAAAAATGAAACACGAAAAGAAAAAAGAAAAGAAAAGAAAGGAAAATAAAAAGAAATGAGAAGAAATAAGGAAAAAAGAAAAATAAAAGGGAAACTAACGTACCTGCTAACCGTACGTCGCTTCCGTCTATACGGTAACTGTACGTCGCTTCTGTCGATGCGCTGACTCCCCCGCGCCGCGGTTTCCCGCGCGACTGTTCGGCAGGAGGATCGGGTCCGGCCGTTCGGACCCGATGAATCCCGCACCATCCTCTGCGCGGTTGCGCCATCCGAAGTCCAAACGGTCCAAATCGAGCCACCCTTTTTCTGTCTTCTCCCTCCCGTCACCGTCGCTGCGTCGCGACATGCCAGGCGCCGCCACCCTCAGATCGCGCGCGGCCGCCGCGTGCCTTGCGGTCCTCGTCGCGGCGGCGCTGCTCCACCGCAGGCGCCGCCGGAACCGGGCGCCCTCCTCGTCTCGCCGCCTCGGGGTCGAGGGGCGCCCCCGCCGCGCCTGCGAGGAGGAGGAGAAGCCGCAGGCCCGGTTCAAGCGCGTGCTCGCGGACAACTCCTACTCCCCGTTCAAACACCTGCGCCGCCAGAGTGCTCAGCTGGGAAGTGCAGAAGGCGAGGCACCCGTGCCACCGCCTCAAGGTGCGCGCACTCCTGGAATCCTGCTCCTGCTTGTGGGGATCTCGGCATTGCCGTCGTACTCGTATGGTTGTTTACTTGTTTTAGGAATTCCACGGGACCCCTGGTACGTAGGTTCGAGCTGCGCGATGCACCAGGGTTGGGGTGGGGGGAGGCTAGTAGAGGATTAGAGGAATGCGGTTCGATGTGGATTTTCTGTCTGAGGAATTTCATCGAACACCCGAGGGCAACGCTGTGCATTCTCCAGTCAGTCGCTGCTATGTGCATTCATGTAAAACGCTGTTCTACTGCATGCTTCTATTTGTTCATACTAGTCTAGTGATGCACGTAGTGGAATAATAGAATAGTGTTACAGGCTTTCAGAAGAGCTCCAGGCCATGCCCTTAACTGAAGACTAGCTTATTGCTGGTATCATTTGAAACAGCAACCACTTGTCATGTTCTGGATTCTGGAACTGGAATGCTCAAGTAGCTTTAATATTTGTACTGTAATTGCTGTCTATTTTACTTGAGGAAGTAAGCTATTATATGGAATTAGTAGGATGTAGAGATAGTAAAGGGAATGCTCAAGTGATTGCTATCTTTTTACTCGAGGAAGTCAAGCTGGATGGTTGATTGCATAAATTTTGCTGTAAGATACGAATTTTGCATATCTAGCATATAGAATATCGATTCTTCATAGGACCATATCCCAAATGGTACCATTCTTTTAATTGTTCTGACATTCCATTTTAATTGATACAGAATCATCACAAAAAGTTCATCCATTTGAGGAGGAAATCACTTCTTTGCTAAAGAACCCCCCTGGTTTTCATAGCTTTATGCTGGGTGACCGGTGCCCAGAAATGAGTGCTACATATAATTGGGTTGATACAGAAGCTCAACTGGAACATTTGGCGAGATTGTTGGGTGAGGAAAGAGCTTTTGCTGTTGATACAGAGCAACATAGCATTCGATCTTTCCTAGGATATACTGCACTAATGCAGGTAATTACTGATAGAGGCACATGCACCCTCAACATTCAATTTTTTATAAGTTTATTATATTTTAATATAGGATTATTCTGTTTTAGATCTCTACCCAGAATGAAGACTATCTGATAGACACAATAGCATTGCATGATGTGATGGGCATTCTACGACCAGTGTTTGCCAATTCTTCTATCTGTAAGGTAACACATCTTTGTAACTGCTTCCAGTGGTAAGCTGTTTATTTTCATTTTCGGTGCTGACTGCAAACTTTAAGCTCTATTAAAGTACAAGCAAAGATAATGCCATGAACTCTATTTACATGCCATTGAAATGTAGCTGAGTTTACTTTTGGGATATGCATTAGAGGGATAAGCTGTAGGACATACTGGTGGCAACATATTATTTTTTCCCTTAAGATAAGCTGTGGGACATCCTAAATACACACATTTCTCTGTATCCTTATGCTGTAGATCTTCCATGGAGCTGACAATGATGTTCTTTGGCTTCAAAGAGATTTTCATATTTATGTTGTGAATATGTTTGATACTGCCAAGGTAAGTACCGGTATAATATATCCTTGTTCACACATTTAATCTATTATGCAAATATTTCTGGTATGTAACACATTTAATATCATTTGCTTGCTAGACCTTTTTTTGGTACAGCATGTTGTGTGTGTTAGAGTAACTAGGAATAGTACCACATTGTCTAACCACGTGAGGTGTTAGTCCTATGTACTCTATATAATCAGCTCATGAGGCCCAATGCAATACAACACAATCTCCACCAATTATATTCTCCTTCATGGTATCAATCGCCTAGGTTTAGATCCTAACCCTAGCCGCCGCTTCAAGACTTGCTGCTACCGGAGAAATCGATCTCCGTAGGCAGCGGCGCTTTTTTAGGCGCCGGATCCTATTGATCCCGCGCCCTCTTCGTCGTCATCAAGCGGCAGATCGGGTCTTCTCGCGGCGCCGCGCTACCTCGCCGCCCTCACCGCGCTCGTCGTGGAGGATGCTGGGCGTCGCCCCATCCCGCGCCGCCGTGGTGGTGGCCCGGGCAGATCGACCCCAACCGCCATGGTGGTGGCCAGCCAATCTGCATCATCCTCGTGCGACCTCGCGTGACCGCAACCCGCCGTGCACCCCGCCTCGTCCGACTCCGATAGCTCGTCCCATGAGCCGGACGAGCCCGCTACCGAGGTGCACTTCTGTCGGGTACACGATCCGTTCTTCTTTGTATCTTTTGGTTTGCCCGATCATCGATCGGGATTGAGTCGCCATCGCCACCGACCTCGCGCATACCTACTCCGCATCGGCGCCGACTACAATGACATCTACATCTTCGACTATGCGGCTGGTCAGGCAGCGCGATGCCGAGGACGCCTTCGCGCCGCTTCTCGGTCATTCATCCGCATGTCTACATCATCGGCTCGTTATCACCACCACAGATCGACGCCCTCACGGCTTCTTCCCATGTCGCTTCCACCTCGCACGTACTTCGGTCCGTACAACCAATTATGCGCGATCCACCGCTCCCGTGGCGCCCATCGCCGAGTACTATGCGCATCTTCTCCGAAACAACAGGTCAGCCGGTTTGTTTGCCGTGTCGCCTCGTCGGCTGCAAAAGACCACCGTTCGTGTGTCGGCTTCGCCGTTGCATCTACATCACCGTCCCCTGTGCATCGACGACTGTACTGCGTACTCTTTGTTGCGCCATCCGTCTGCACAAGGTCTTCGTCCTGCTGATTGGGTCTTCGTCATCGAGCTGCCGCTACCCGCGCCATCGCCGAGCCATGTTCGCGGTCGCACCCCTCGCATCGTCAGCCGAGCCCCGCTCGCCGATGCTTCGCTCTCGTGACCGCTTCTTCTTCGTCCAAAGACAACCACGCCGACAAAGATCACCGTGGTTGGGGCCTCTACCTTGTACGCCCCAGTATTGGCAACATCGACGCGTGCTTTGCGTCCCGATGCGTTCTTGGGGTACGGCAAACCAAATTTTCACGCCTCGGCGCACAGTGGCTTGATCGCATCGACTTCGCATCGACCCTCCCGCTCCTACCCCCCGCGCGCTCGAATGCGTCGTCGCTTTTCTTCTACGCTCACGACGGCCTTGATCAGTTGACTTCGACGACGCCCCGCTTCCACGACGATCGCCTTTGACGCGCCTCCGTCATCATCATGGCGCCCCTCGCTACGCAAGCTCCATCGACATGGCAATCCGACCACAACTACGCCGACCTCGGCCATCTTCAAAGACGGCTTCTTCGACCACGCGGCTATTGCGCCCTCACGCCGACTACCTCGACATCGGCACAAAGGGCTACCGCCTTGCATGAGGACTCATCGGCTTTTCTCCAATACATCATATGCGCCAGATCGATCGTTATGGACTGCAAGGGATGTTAGCTTCAGCTTCTTCTCCGCCTCACCTGCAGCTGCTGGCCTCTCCACCGCGGATCATGGAGGGATGTTAAAGTAACTAGGAATAGTACCACATTGTCTAACCACGTGAGGTGTTAGTCCTATGTACTTTATATAATCAGCCCATGAGGCCCAATGCAATACAACACAATCTCCACCAATTATATTCTCCTTCAGTGTGGCATGCATTGCTTAGATTGACACCCCATTTTACAAGGAACAATTCTGTGCAGGTAGTTTAGTATTTTTATCATTTCAAACCTGTTATGGTCGGCAAAGTATACCAACGCCATGCAAATGCCAAATGGCTGAAGGTGGACCATGGCAGAGCGCACCAAAGACGCTGTCACCACGTCATGGCGTTCAATTTGTTCATGCGGCAAATTGAGCCTTGTGTTTGTTTCGTTGGTTTGTTACCCTCGTAGAGATTAGGAGTTTGTTTAGGAGTTTGTTTCATTATTCCGTAGAGTGAGGAGAGATTTGTTAGCATTTGGTTAGTGTGGAACACTATTCATTAATGAGAATTAGCCAGAGATTGAGACTCATCTCTCTCGCCTCCTGGCGCCCAGCGCTCACACCTCGTCCACAGCCCTAGCTTCAAGGCCGAGCACGGCGCCCGCCTCCCACCGCCCAGGCGTTCAAGCCTCGCCCTCCACGTCCGACTCCTATCACCTCCAGAGCAATCCACGCTCCAACAAAACCTTTTGTAGATCACTTCACATGTATGTGTGTTGTAATTGCTCTATGAAATGAAAGAAACACAATTAACTGAAAACCAATATTATCATCTAAAGAATATCAAATGGAAAAACCTAATACCATAGCACTTGAAAATTTGTATTATTAACAAATGAAGGAAAATCCCCAACACTGTACCTAGTTAGCTAAGAATATCAACCTAGAAAATGCTATCTCCTCTTTAATTACTAATATCATGGTTTCTTTGGAATAGGTTGTCCTTGATTGTACTATACTACTATGTGATATTGATTGCTTCATTATTAGGTTCTAGATCATATGATTCGCTTAGTCCAAGGGTGGGGAAATGATTTGGTGATCTGTGTTCTTGTACCTCCTTTTTTACTCATATTTTAAAATCGATATAATAGATTTCAGTCAGATAATGGATTATACTTTCTACTACTGAAGCATGGAAATTTCAACCCCATAACTGCAACATGAAAAGCTTTGTGAATGAACCTTTCATGTGGTGGAATGCAGTTGCAGTTAAGAATCAGAAGTTGAGAACTTTTAGGTTATTAAACCATCTTTGCTCACCTTATAATCACATGCTGCAGTCATGTTTACAAATATTTTGGTTTTTGAACAATTTTATTTCTTGCCCCCCTCACTCATTTTTTTTTGAGAAGTTTGTGTGAAACGTCTTTTTTTTTTAATTTCTGAATTTACATCCTTAGCTTGTTTTTCTTATGCTATGAACGCATGCAACTTATCTTAATTGCGCCTTACAACTGATTTTACTTCAGGCATGTGAAATTCTATTGAAACCGCAAAAATCACTGGCATATTTGCTTGAAGTATATTGTGAAGTGACCACAGACAAGACAATGCAGGTAGGTAATCGATCAGTATCAGCTTAAAAGTACTGAGCTCAGTGAAGTCACTCATTTGTTCAATGCCAGTTGATTTTATGCACTGATACTTCCATGAGAGCATGGGAAATATGAGGCAGAATGCTTTAAAAAATGTATCACTTATGAGTACACTATTTGTTTTGTTTTCACATGGTAAATTACAACAAAACAAAGAAGCAGATTGAGGGTCTATTTTGCATGCTGCCCTATGGAACTAGAATTTATTACAGGGAATGATTTACTCCTCTTTTTTTTTCAATTGTTGACTAGAAATATAAATGATCTTCAAAACATCAGTGTTAAAACATACTCTTAAGGCATGTTTGGCTTACATATGTTGATCTTGTACTCTGGCTTGCAATTTATTACATCTTAATATAAGCAAGGTAAGGTAGCTTACTATATGACCCATGACAACTTATAAGGTCAATAGTCCACCATACATTGGCTTCAACATACCCAGTTAGCTTTGATAGGTTTCCAAATAACTGGTCTTTACATGCTTCACAGCCTGGTAGTCACATCCTTTAATCATGCAGAGTCATTACTGCATCTATGAATGCATAGTTCCCATGCTGTTCTAGTCAACTAAATTCAAGAAAAGATAAATCATGATCATCACCTTTGAATTTTTCTTCGATTGAGCAAACTCGAAGTTTCTTTACAAAGGATATTTTCATGAATTTGCTTGCTTTTGAGCATTATGTTTGGTGTTGAATACATGACATGCTTATGAAAATGATAACCAAGTGCATACATGTTGTAAGGCATATTTCTTTTGGCATTCAAAATTTCAGTTTGTTTGAAACTCAAAAATTCTAATATCGCAATTGCCTGATATCCGCTCTCATTTTGTTTCCCTACCTTGATTTTGAAACCCCAGCGTGAAGATTGGAGACTGCGTCCTCTGACTCCAGAAATGATTGAGTATGCTCGCACTGATGCTCACTATCTGTTGTACATTGCAAATTGTTTGGCATCAGAGCTCCATGCAAAAGCCTGTGGTATGTTCTAAGTGCTGTATCAACTTTTTCTTTCCTATTGTTTGCTTTTTTTGTTCATTGGCTCAGTACCCTCACAGTTATCTAATATATTTGAATTTGGTATCTCAGAATTTAGAAGTCATAGTTGTATAAGTTTTAAACTAATTTCACATGGTCTGAAGAGCGAAATTTCTTTAGATTGTTGGTTCTTGAATTGGATGATGTTTCTGTTTGTCATTCTTCTTTTTCTGCATGTGGAAGACACTAGCAGCTCTGATACATTTCTTGCTAGTACCAGGCTTCAGAAATATGAAATGCACTATTCCTGGAAATGATGAGTCATTTGCAAAGATTACATTATTTGATCCATGACTTTGGGAAATATTTGGTAAACTGTGAATAATCAATTAAAACTAGGAAGTATTTATTGTTCTATCAATGGAAAAGGAACTTTTGAATGGTACACTATGGAGCTATGTAAGCTTGGGAGTATTTCATTAACAAACTTATGCAATCCTATTCACCTGCGGAAAATTAGATGGCTATTTTCTTAATTCTTATTTTTAATATTGAGTGTCAAAAAATCTTTCACAATGTCAACATAAGCTTTCGAATGGTAAGCACAACGTGTCATCTCTATATATTCCTGATGTGTAGTTAAGAAATGGAAGCAGTATTAAGGGGGACCAAGAAAAGCAGATGACAGTGATGAGGCACTCATGATATCCTATTGCTGAACTGCAGAAATTGATACTTTAACCCTCATAAGATTTGGATAATCCTAAATATTCTCTTTTCTTGTCAACATCAAATCACATATCGGTACCATGGTACCCTTGGCCTTCATCACATGTCTCAAGTCTTTGATCATCTGTAATATCTAATCAGATACTTCCAGTGATAAAATCAATTTTTTCTTCGAGGCTAGTCATCGCTCAACTATGGTGTGCATGCAACTGTATGCAAAAGAAATTGAATCTCCTCCTGGAGCTTCCAGTGCAACATCTATTCTCTCACGAAATTTGCAAACTCATGGGTTCGACTCCAAAAAGTATAGTGAAGTGAAGGTGCTTCTTTTCTGTATTCACTTTTTGATTGTAGAATGTCTTCTGGTTAGCTTGCCAGCCAGCGATTTTGTATTTTTTGTTCCTGAATTTCTAATCTTCTGCATCCACAGGATCTTGTTTGGAAATTTTGTGCATGGAGGGACTTAATGGTCAGTAAAAAAAAACTATTTCCCTTAGAATAGCTCCTCCCTTCTGCAAAGTAAATCTTTTTAATTGCTTATTTGTTGTTACCTCCGGTCAGCAAAACTTGATGTTCAGACAAGTGAAAACAGCAGTAAACTAGTTGTGTGCCTTGTCCGAAACATGAACTTTTCTTGACTGGAGGTAGTACTTTTTTATCTACCTTTGAATCCTGGGTGATCACCAGATGTCACTCGGGCAAGTTGCATAGCGATGGGCACATTGAAGCAAATGCATTTCCAGGATATCATGCATATTTGCAGTTATGTAGTTGTGGTGGGTCTGTTTCCTTTCTGATATCTCCTACAACTTGGGTTTTGGGTCATTACAGGCTCGGATGCATGATGAAAGCTTACGATATGTTCTGTCTGACCAAGCTATAGCTGCCCTTGCTGTTAGTCTTCCAAAAGGCCCAACAGAGGTGTTTGCTATCATAGCAGAAACTGACCTAAGCATTTCAAGTATGTACCCTTCCTTGTCATCACCGTCACCTCTTGTTGTGGCTCATGTCAAAGAACTCTGTTATCTGCTGGATGACATCACTACCAGCATGGGCGACATCTTTAAAAGTTTACTAGAGAAGTATAAAGATCCAAGTGGATTATGTCGACTATCAGTTTATAATTACAACTTTATAACACACCTAAGTTTGAAGCAAACAAATATGTTTTCCTTTGCTCCAAGTGGAGAGAAGTTGCTGACAGCACCGCCTAATAAAAAGGCTTCACGGATTTATTCATTAAAAGTTCTCCTGCAAGTCCCCGGTATATCACAATTGCAGGATTTATGCTAGTGATGGAAGACTACTTTGCTACTGTGACCGCAAAAAATTGGAATGGTTTGCTTCTTAAATATATTCCCATTAGCTATTTACATGCATATAGCATGAATGAAGAATTATTTTGTCAAACTGATGAGCTCTTCTATCCCAGGTAATGCTTCAACGTAATTTGGCGAAATTGATTGAAGATAGTCCTCCAGCAATCATGCTTCTCTTTGAACCTAAAGGTCGTCCAGAGGATGAAGATAATGAGTTTTATATTCAGAGCAAGAAAAATATTTGTGTGGGCTGTGGAGAAAAGAGCCATTATATTAGATACAGAATAATACCGTCATGCTACAGGATGCATTTTCCAGAACATCTGAAGAGCCATCGTTCACATGATATTGTACTTCTTTGTGTAGACTGTCATGAAATAGCTCATTCAGCAGCTGAGAAATACAAGAGGCGAATAGCAGAAGAATTTGGAATACCCCTTTTTGTGCAAAAGATAATGAACTCGGGTGATATAAGTTTGATTACCAACACATCAGTATCTGAAGATAAATTGAATGGAACAGGTGTCTCCCCATTGCAGCTGAGGACTGCTGCCATGGCTCTTCTACGTCATGGATCCACTATGCCGTTGAAGAGATGTGAAGAGCTAATGCAGGTGATGACACCCTTCCTTGTTAAATATGTACTTGTTCTTAGCTATAGATCTCTGTTATGGACCAATTCAATTCTTTGCAGATTTTAAAATCATACTATGGTGGTAGGGATGTGACTCCTGAAGACCTCGAGATGGCATTACTTGTTGGTATAAGTCCTCATGAGCGAAGGCGTCTTGAAAAGAAAAAGGACTATTCGTTTAGAGCTCAGGATCAAAATATTATTAGAAAGAGCAGCAGCAATACCATCTCAGAAGACAGTGGACATGGATCAGAAAATTGTCATGCCTTATCTGAGCGATTTTCTGAGGATGGAACTGAGAGTAATGGTCAACCAGAGTTTGATGAGACAGAGGAACGAAACCAGCTAGAGAATTTAACCCTGAGCCAGGAAGCTCAAGTTTGCCAGTCGGCATGGAGGACACCACTTTGATCATGACACTTGAGACAGATACCAATCAGCAAGCAAGAGGCGCCTGCACTCCTGGAAACAGCCATCTCGACAGGGAACTATCCATCCGTGACAATTCTAGCCAGGTCATTTCCAAGAATGCTGAGAAGAAGATTTCCCTGTTGGGTCATGGGCATCACGGTAAACAAGTTGTGGAACTTTTGCTTTCCAATGGCGGGGAGGAAGCTATTAACCAGTTTTGCCAAAGATGGAGGCAGATCTTTGTTGAGGCTGTTCACCCCCGTTATTTACCTTCTGGCTGGAATATTAACCACAGGTCAGTTGCCTTTCATTATATGCCTTTTCTTGAATTCACCAAGCTGTATGTGAAGTTCTAGCCACGTACCAGTGACCTTAAAAGATCTTTCTGTGTCGCGATGGTTCTTGTCCAGATTTCCTTTCATCACCAGATATTTACTGCTATCTGTATGTCCTCTTGTGTGGTGCAGTGGACGGCAGGATTTCGGTGACTTCAGTGTCTACAAGCCACCAAGGAAAGATCCTCAATCTGCAAGGGATTAGGCTACGCGGATGTCATCAGTACCTTTCCTGTCGTTGTACCCGGAGGTTCAAGTTTTACTTCCCAGAATTGGCTGCATCCCCTTAAACCTGATATTTTGTACTTGTATGTATCTCTCAATCCGTGTGCTTGTTCGAGTACCTTGCTTTATCTCGAAATACCAGTTTCATCTCTCTACTTCTTTTGGCATGAATTTTGCATCAGTTTAAGTGAGCCGTTTTTTATACGAGTGAACTTCAACTCAGCAGATTGAATCATCAAAGTTCCGTTTTTAACTCGGAATTGTGATGAAATTGATGTGTTCCGGACAGGCCTTAAACTTGGGTTGCTTTTGGAACACAAATTATTCAGGATTTCACTGGAAACAATTCGTTTCCTGTAGAAATGGGCAAGAGCTCCTCCCTCCAAACTGTGGTCGTAGAGTATCTGTTGTTTACGGTGGGATATCCTGAGCAGGATCCCACTATCCTTCTCTCCCCCCCCCAACCCCACCCCACCCCACACACACACACACACAGAGGCCAGAGCATTATTTTTTGTTTTTCATTCAGATTTTCATTCCCCACAATCCAAAAATGAAGTGTGGAGCGTCAGCGGCATGCTGCAAAGCGGGTGCAGCCAGCTCGGCGGAGCCACATGATCCTCCCCATCTCGCCGTCACTGCCCCTCCACCACTCAGCTCGGCTTGAATACCCCACCGTGCTCAGCTCTCCACCCAAACCCAATCCATCCAAACCCATTTCCTCCCTCCCGTCCCGTCCTGTCCTGCCCCTGTCTCTTCCGCTTCCACCCCCGCGCGCCGCCGCTGGTGATCCCCGTCGCCGCGGACCAGCAGCAGCCATGTCGTGCTCCCACCTCTCCACCGCCTGGTCCTCCTCGGCGCTCGCCAGCAGCGCCTCCTCCACCTGGGGCGCTCCGCCCCGCGCTCGGGCCTCGTGGTGCGGTGCTCCCTCCGCGAGCTCCGCACCCGCATTGACTCCGTCAAGAACACGCAGAAGATCACGGAGGCCATGAAGCTGGTGGCCGCCGCCAAGGTCCGGCGCGCGCAAGAGGCCGTCGTCTCCTCCCGCCCCTTCTCGGAGGCCCTGGTGGAGGTGCTCTACAACATGAACCAGGAGATCCAGACGGAGGACATCGACCTGCCCCTCACCCGCACCCGCCCCGTCAAGAAGGTGGCGCTCGTCGTCCTGACCGGCGAGCGCGGCCTCTGCGGGAGCTTCAACAACAACGTGCTCAAGAAGGCGGAGGCCCGCATCGAGGAGCTCAAGCAGCTGGGCCTCCAGTACAGCGTCATCAGCGTGGGGAAGAAAGGCAACGCCTACTTCCAGCGCCGCCCCTACATCCCGCTGGAGCGGGACCTGGAGGTGAACGGCGTGCCCACCGTCAAGGACTCGCAGGCCATCTGCGACCTCGTCTACTCGCTCTTCGTCTCGGAGGAGGTGGACAAGGTGGAGCTGCTCTACTCCAAGTTCGTATCGCTCGTGCGCTCCGACCCCATCATCCAGACGCTGCTCCCCATGTCCCCCAAGGGCGAGATCTGCGACATCAACGGCGTCTGCGTGGACGCCACCGAGGACGAGCTCTTCCGCCTCACCACTAAGGAGGGCAAGCTCACCGTGGAGCGCGAGAAGGTGAAGATCGAGACGCAGCCCTTCTCCCCCGTGGTGCAGTTCGAGCAGGACCCCGTACAGATCCTCGACGCGCTGCTCCCGCTCTACCTCAACAGCCAGATCCTCCGTGCCCTGCAGGAGTCGCTCGCCAGCGAGCTCGCCGCCCGGATGAGCGCCATGAGCAGCGCCACCGACAACGCCATCGAGCTCGCCAAGAACCTCTCCATCGCCTACAACCGACAGCGCCAGGCCAAGATCACCGGGGAGATCCTCGAGATCGTCGCCGGTGCCGAAGCCCTCGCCTGAGCCTGAGCCCTTGTGACTTGTGCGAGCCGAGCTGTGCCTGTGCCCTGTGGTGGCCTGCTTGATGCGGTGCTCCTGCTATATATAATTCTTTTCTCATTTTCTTGTTGTCCACTCTGCCTGTAAGGCCTGATAGCACAAACGCAACGGAGTTCTGTGTTCCTCGCGACATACACAATAATCTGAGAGTATTTTAAATCTCGCCTTGTCTTGCAAATGTCCAGTTAGTTTCGATGCTTTACCTCCATTTGACACTTCAGTTGTCCTGTGCCCACTCGAAACTGAAATAGAATTGCTGCATCTAGCACTTCCTCTATCTAGTTCGTTTGGGTTGCTACATCCTTGCGCAAAAAAAAAGGGATTGCTACATCAATTGAACTCACTGGATTCTATATATATGAACAAAAAAAAAGTTTCATTAGACTCTGCGCGCGCGCACACACACACCGGCGTCGTCTACAGGCGACTCGGGTGGAGATACCACACTCTCCGGCTAACGGTGGCGACCAAAAGGCCCTCCCCAGCAGCCTCCTCCTCCCCTCCTTCCTCTCATCCCCTCCTTACCAGAGCTCTAATATTCCGGCAACCAGGATGGCTGGCGGCGAGCTGTAGCACCGAATCCGAGACCTCTAGGCCCGAATGGCGTGGCATGCGGCGGCCGAACCGGTGCGTCGTGGCCAAGAGCTACCTCGTCGTCCCCTCGCCTCCCCTCCCCGCAGCAGGCTGGCCGACGCGTGCATGGCCCTGCAGCTGGAGGTAGAGGTGGCACACTGAATCTGTGTCCTCTGGGCCCAAATTCGGCGTCCCCCGGCCCGGATCCAGCGCTACCGGGGCCAGCAGCCGTACGGGTGCGGTGACCGGCGGCCCAACCAGCGCGTCACGGCCAAGGGCCACCTTGCCATCCCTCGTCTCCCTCCGCGCAGCAGGCTGGACGACGCGTGCACGACCCTGCGGCTCGCACCTGCAGCTGGAGGTAGAGCCCGCGGATTCACGACCCGCACACATTTGAAATCTGGGTGAAAACCATGTCGGGTGCTGCTCCAGGCCAGGCAGCGACGATGGCGCAATTTGGCGTCATATCCCTCTCTGGAGTTGTCGCTGTAGATTTCAATTTCTGCTATCGTGGAAGTCTTTCCAAGGTTGCTGCATCTGCTAAGCAGGTCTCGGGGCGAAAGCCCTTACGAGCTTGTTGCTCCGATCGTCGATGGTGGCGCCCATGGGCGTCACTTCCCTTCTTGAAGGCATCGATACAATCACACTTGCTCCTGTTCATGCCTGGCTTGTCCTTGTGCTCTCCCTAGTTGCTCCACACCTACTCCTGTCCGTGCTCGGTGTGTCCGTGTCCTTTATGCTCTCCCTGGTTGCTCTCTCCCCATCTTGTTATCGGTCTAACTACCCTCCTACCCCTTGGTTTTTGTGCACACTGCTCGTTGTCAGGTGCTCACCGTCAACGGCTTGGGCCCCGTTCGCTTCGCTGAAAAAACAAGCCGAAACACTGTTTCGACTGATTTGTTGTGAGAGAAAAACACTGTTCTAACTGAAAAATAAGCAGAAAAGTACGGATTATAAGAGAAGTGAATATGACCTTGCTCTGTCGTCCTCTAGTTCATTTAAGTGCTTCGCCTCATCATATGCTAGGCTGCAGGGACCTTGGTCTCCTCCTTTAGATCTCCTCGTTTCCTCATGAGGTTTCTCCCCCTTGGAGGCTTCCCCACCCCAAATAGCGTTGGTGGGCATCGGCCGAAACCCGGATGCTTTTATAGGCGATGCAACTCACGGTTGTCGCCGGTTTATTCTGACTCAATGCCTTACAGCTTCCTGGCTGCCGTCTGTTAGACCCGACTCACTTTACAGCTGCTTGTGGTTTAGAGATCTTCAAAGTCTGTCTTTGGTGGTGGCACAGGTCAGGAACGTGGTGCTCGCACTAGCTTCGGATGTATTTTGAGTCTGTAGCTGAACCATGTTATTGTTGGTTGTTTTGTTTTTGTTGGTGTTGTATTCCTTCTCTCTTCTCCTATGTCATATACTTCTGTGACCTTCTATTATCAGCTTACCGGAATATGTGGAAAATATATTCAGATGGAGCCCGTGGCAGAAGACGGCCAAAAGATGGATGCCAGATAGTGCAAGGGCCAGGTGCGGTTGTATCTCTGTCCTATTTATTAAGCGCAAGAAATTTTCTTCTATGTTCACAAAGACAAAAAAAAAAAAAGGTTCAAAACAGTAAGATTCTTAAAAAAAGGGAGAAGGTATAGAAAAGCGAGCGCTTGATCTTGAGATCCCTGATGGTGCATAGCCTGAATGTTAACATAGATACTGTATGAACATCCGTGTCATCGATCTTGTAGGGAAAAAAAATGAAACTCGCGCAACAAACGAAAAAGCTAAAGAAATAGGGCGTGCTTGTCTTGCCGCAAGTCGGCACACCGCAGCGCCGTTTGGTTCTTGCGGCACCTGAGACATGTCACAGAAATTGTGGCACCGGCTCAGTGTATTTTTACGCCCAAGTCCTCCAAATGTTTGGCACAATTTCAGCGCCTCCGCTACGGCTCGGCATCATGCGGCATGCACCAAACAGCCTAAGTGATCGAGGTGGAATAGCAACTTGACAGGATTATTTTTTCATGCAAAATTTATTCAACTTTATTTTATATATAAGCAAGTCACATGATTCAACTTTAGCATTCTATGTTCCTTCTCTTAACAATGTTTTTTTAACGAACACAAAATAAAGTTGAATAAATTTTGCATGAAAAAAAATATATATATATATATATATATGATCCCATCCCATGATAACAACGCTGGCTCATATCTTGGTCTCATCAGTCATCACAATCATGTCCTGTGGACGGAGAATATAGGCCATTGAAAGCTTCTAGCCCCTAGGTGGGTTTCGGTGATTAATGGCAATACAAGATTATTATAACTAACGTGTGTTTTGTAGAGGCAATTAAGTTAGGTCATATTAATGGAGATCGATTGGGCAATCATGGATGTCATGTCTCTACGATGGAAATCGTTTCGGTTTTTAAAGGATGGATGACAAGGTTAAGGATGACTAGTTCTAAGTGTCGATTGGAGTTGGA